CTCTAAGAGTAGTTTCGGAAAATAATATAAAGAGGATAAAAAACATTTTAATCCATTCTTTCTACAGAAAAATATCTGAATAAAAGCACTGTTTACACATTTTGCTGTTTAGAAATTCAGGGAAAAATAAAGAAAAATCCTTAACCTGCTGGTAAAGACCACTCAATACATAAGTAAAACAAGGCACTAGTACTCCACAGCACTCAAATACATGAGTCAAGACCAATCGTAAGACCCAGAACTATGCCAGCAATAAAAACATCTTATTTTCCACCCTTTTTCTGTTTTTAAATTTCCAGTGTTTGGGCTCACAGAAGTGAACATCAATTACAATTTGAAATCTACACAGATGCAATTGCACAAGTTCCAACTAACCAGCATGTCTTTCTTACAGCCAGACCTTCCCCGTCCACATCAACACATGACTCTGTCCTACACACTGTTTTGTTGGTTGTTGGTTTTCTTTTAGCAAGAGAGAGAACATGAAAGCTCAGCAGATTACAATCCATTCCTGTCTTAGATAACACCCCCATTACCAAACATCCTTGTTTGCCTGGTGCTATTATTCTCATGTACAATTTGCATGCTTAGATCCAAACATGCTTCAAATCCAAATGTGTCCTGTATTGAGAAGTTGTGGACACAAGCCCATGGTGAAGCAGAAAGTTTCAAACAACATTCAGGGAACCCATAGAAATGAAGTTCCATAGCTGTACCAGCAAGGTAAAATTAATTATTAGACTTCCACCACTTTCTTAATAATCTCAGTAACAGACTGAAACTACCCCTGGTGGGAGCAGGGAAGGTTTGACTATGCTCCTTGCCAAACTCAGTACGTACAATACAGCGGTGGTACAGTAAGAAGCAGCAAACACCATCACTTACGGCACAAGAATCACAGGCACCTCCAAAGCTGCCAATAAAGTTACGGAGCTGGTGACTGTTTGCACGTTCACACGTGACTTGTGAGCGAGTCTGTGACTTGTGAGCGAGACACTTCTGTGAAATACTTTTTAACAGAAGAAACGATTCCGTGGTACAGACACATTTTTCAATCTGTATCAAGTTGGCTAGTTTCTTTAGCAAGAACAAAACTTTGTTTTCAGAAACATTTTCTGATATAAATACAGATTTGATACATTTTTCAAGATTACAAACTTTTTAAATGGCAACAACAATGCATGTAATTTTACTGACCTTATTTGCCCCCAATCTTAGGTAATTTTAAAATAAAAACCTAGTTAAGAAACAGGTGAGTTTGAAATACACAACAAATAAGAAATTGCAATGTATGAGGAAAGGTATAAGGTATACTAGCTAAGCGTGAACAACAAAATACAGCTATACATTCAACCAAAAATGAAAAATCCTGAGAACTAATAAACTCTAATTTCAGGAAACAACATTCCAAAGCGAAAAAACTTTAACTCAAGAAATCAGCTATCACAATATACCCCACCTTCTTTCAACATTTTTTCTGCCTTGCTTGAATAATCTAGCAAGTGATCTTTATTCAAATCCACAGGTAGTGCAGAATAATTACTCAGTTATACCATGTCTACTAATGAAAGCAGAGAAAGCAGTGCCTGTCATCCTAATAGATGCTCACTACAGCCCACTTTAACACACATGCACAACTCACAACCCTATTATTCTTTTTCATCACCCAGCTGAGTGCACATCCCTATTATGACTGGGAATAAAAGCAAAAGGAAAACTCAAGAAACACGAGTGAAAATTGTTGAACTCCAGTACATCCAATAATTTTCAGTTTTGAAGGATGAACAGAGACATGACAATAGCTTGTCCTCAGAAGAATGCAAGTGCTTATTACTAGAACAAAATGATTGTTCCTATAAATACATTATTATCCACTCACCACAGTATCATTCTACCACAGATAAACTATCCAAATTCACATTAGTGATTTCTGCTATTTGATGTTCTGAAGTGCAAATGTATGTACCAATACAGATCTCTGCACAAAATTAAGAGACAATAGTAACAGCACACAAATAATCCAGAAACATCCCCAAAAAAATTGTCTTTCAAAAGAAGTATAAATACAATATGACTAAATTATTTTGTGGATAAAAAAAACCTTAAGCTGCTTGGAGACCAAGTGGGCCTCTACTATTTTGCTTAAATATCCATCACATCACCTCACTGTGATACAGCCCTTGTGATAAGTAGCCACTTACATAAGTGGCAGTTTCTGTTTAAAAGATGTTCCTTCCAGCTTGCAGTAAAAGCCCTAAATTTCAATCACTGACCCAAGAGGCTCCTAATTTTATGTTCTTCTGGTTTATTAGAGACTTAGAATAATTGATAAATAAAAAACAAATTTAGGAACAACAAAGGCTACATTCCTCAGTGTTTCAAATAGAAACAAATCAAAAGTTCCTGTACATATGTTTAGTATAGTCAGACCTACAGAGTCAAAGGCTTTGTTGAAGTCTAGGTAGATTGCACCTGCAGCCTGTCCCTCAACCACCAGGCTGATCATCTGGTCATAGAAGGAGATGAGGTTGGTCTGGAGGGACCTGCTTTTCATGAACTCATGCTGGCTGAGTCTGATCCCCTGGTTATCCCTCATATACTGCATGATTGCAGTCAAGATTATCTGCTTCATAACCTTCTCCAATACTGAGATCAGGCTGACAGACCTAAATTTATTCTCCTCCCCATCTCTGTATTCCAGCTCAGGGAGCTAAGTAGCCTTGGAATAACAGGCCTATTAAACAAAGCATACCTTGATGGTTACAAGGCAAGGAAAAATTCTACTCATGCTCAAGCTGAGATGCAGAGCCTCTGTACCTCAGGGCACAAATACACCGTGAGAGCATACATGTGGACTCGCACAAAAATGCATTGTGTAGAACTGGGACTTGTAGAGCATGGTAGTGCTCCCAGAGACAGGGAAAGAGTTCACCACCTTTTTCTTAACTTGTACTGTGTTAACAAATGGTTTGCATAACATCTACAGCTCATTCAATTCACATTTCTAACTTACTGAAATGATTAATACAAGAGTCCAGAAAGTGGTAATAAACCAACACACTCTACTGAATTTATTCTCAATTCTTCTGAGTTAGAGTTATAAAATAAAGTAATTGACATCTAAAAATCTTCTCACTGAAAAATTTATTTAATCCTGTCTCAGTAACAGCCATAAACAAGCACTGGTGATAGTATATCCACTGAGTTCAGCATTAATTGCATAAGCAGATCAAGAGCACTGAAGAAAACTAAAAATCTTTCAACTCTCTCCTGACATTTTATCAGTGTAACACATTCGTTAGACTTTTTCGTATTTCCTCCTTCATACTTTCCTCCTCATACTTGCAACTGTATTCAGACAGTGTGTTTTGCAGCAAATTATATAATACTTTCTCTATTTGCCATATTTAAACAGCTACTACTTGACTTTCTCAAGTTTGCACTTTGAGTTGAGCAATATATTCTTCATTTACCTTAGCCTGCATTATGTAACTCTAGAAATATTATTGTTTCTGAGATTAAAAAAAAAAGATAATCACAGTTTTGTTCTAAAGGTAAAAATTTCAGACCATGTGACTTACAATCATATATTTTGACTTCTTCCAAATATAATTCAACCCTTTTTTTTTGGACTGATATGTATTGTTATACATCAAATTAGCAAACTTCCATACTTCCTGTCTACTTCAGGTTGTTCAGCTTTTCCATACTGAACTTTCTGCCATTTATGAGCAAACTTGATCTAGAACAGATGCTGCAACAGATATCTGCAGCAGATGGTATCAGATACCAATGTATCGAGCTAACCATAGAAATGAAATATCACATGGCTAACCCATGTCTACAGGACCACCAAAGGTACAAGAAATGTGTAATATTCAATTGAAACTGTTGACACATTCTGAGTAAAAATTAGTAAATACATCTTTATCTCATATAAGGAATGAATGAGGAATTGGAATTCACAGGTAATTATAGAAAAGTAATTCTTCATCTCACTTCTGTACTTTAATTTCTGGAATAAAAAAAGATTAACAAGGACAACATCAGCAAAAAGAAAATACATCCAATATGCATAAATCATTTTAGTCCCTATGTTTTGTTACCCTAATTACAATAGGATATGACAAAGAAAATACTTTCACTAGGACAGTTATGGTCTGGTTTAACTATTACAGCTTAAAAAAGAGAAAGCAAATTCAGCATCCAGAAAAAAAAAACGAACAGCTGTATCATACAATTATTCTCTAAGTGTGGTGAATGAATCTTCAAGTACTATTTTGATAAGAACTATATACATACAAAAACTGTCTCCAGAGGAAAGGCATAATATTAACAATGTGTACGCATACTAATATCTGAGCCTCCATTGTTTCATCATGCAACAATTAAGAAGTGCTAAGTCCATTTTTAAAATCAAATAGTTATTTTAAAAAACTATATTAATTTTCAAAAATTCACAGATGAATTGGCCTACAAGAATTTCACACTACTAGATTTCTGGATTCACTGATCATCCTAGCTTTCTAATTTAGCAATTAAGTCATTTCTGCCCTTGTAATTCAGTGCCCTTGAACAAATCAAACACGGTGATGTGAACACTCTAAAATTATATCTCAGGCATCAGATTTTAAGAGGAAATAAGAAGGTGAAATTATGATGAAACTTTTGTTCGTAGCATAAGAAGAATCACATATATTCTGTATTAGTTATTGTTCACAATAAGTATAAAATTATATAAACACGCATGCCATACCTGTTATACAGCACTTTCCATAGTCTGCACAACATAATTGAATTTTTACTCATTCTGGAGGTCTGTACTCAGGTTTAGGTTAAATTTATATATAGACGAGTTTTCCTTTCAACCTTGTGAAGATCACGATGAGAAATAGAGGTTAAACCACAAGCGATTACAAGACATTCATGCCAAACTACTTCTATTCAATACATATTCACAACAAACATTTCTTAAAAAAGAGAGAAGTCTGGTTACCTACATTGTTTATGTACTCAGAAAGCAGGTCTTGGAGAGCTTGACGGATAGCGTTGCACTCAGCAATGATGCGCTCTCGATGGAAATCACGTGTGCAGGAAGAATCAGCTAGCAAAGCTGCTCCACTGATAATGGCTTCCAAACGTTTCTCTAGCGATGGCCTTATTTTGTCTTCACTCACTAAAAGAGGATCCTGGATGATCAAATGCTGGAAAGTATTTTTAGAAAGTAAAGGTAAGAATAGTCAGCCTACTGAAGTTGCCACTTTGTTTTTCATCTGCATGAACCACAGTGACATTAGTCTTCCTTAACTTCCAACTAGCTCTTTCATCTTGATGTCAAGAATACCTTGGACTATGGCAGATCCCAGTCTCCTTACACTGGCTACAGACACAGATCATTTGCAGACAAAACCAAATTCTCTCTGCCAGCAAGATCTCACTAGTTCTAGTCCAACATCCAAGTTATGAAATTCTGCTTGCCTGGATTCAGTGCTAAACTGGTATCTGAGCTTTCCAGCTTCAGCTCTTTCACAGCAAAGTGCCTCACAGAATAAGATCACATCTACCTGCTTGCCATGTTGACATCTTCTGATGTCACAACTACCTTATCTCCAAGTTGTCTTTGTTTCCTATTTTAACTTCATGAGACTGAGTATTTTTCATTCTTTGCTTCAGTCTCTTCTACACCTGCACCTGTCATTTCTTCTACAAGGCATTTCACTGAAATCAGAAACACTATTTGTTTTCTTTATAAATATGCATGTGCTTTTATCTATGAAGTATCTTACTACTTGGTCTCGCATTTTTTACAATATTCTGCTCCAAAACTGAAAGCTATAAACTTCACTTTACAGGCAAAGAACTGGGGCCCTGCCAATCAGCCTCAGAGTCATACAGAAGGTATGTCTTAAAAGAGGCAACTGCATACCACACCTTTCCAAGTTCTCAGACAGCATTGTTTCTCCACTGTAAGTTTTATCACCATTGTTGTTAAAAAGTATTTGTTGAAATTGTTTCTTGTCCCCATCTGGATTTCTTGACTTCCTCATTCCCCCATATAGTGGGTCTGCCATGCACTTGCCTTGAAATTTTATACTAAGCTTTTATCTCTATATACAACTATAGCACTGAGTATGTGATATATACAACTCAACTCAGTAATGTTTCATGTTTTAAGTATTTCAGAGTGGAGGCTCAGCTTTGTTTGAATTTCTATAGGGAGGGTCAGTATCTCCAATATTAGAGTTGTAGAGATCAGAATGGCATCTGGATAACAAACACAAACAGCAGTGACAGCTCATCACTGAGATGTTATAAGAGCAGTCTAATTCTGATGATTTTAAGTCTAATACAGTCACACACCAAGGCAGAAATTGGCTGCTGCTATGTTTAACAGGCTCAATATCCACAAAGCAAAATTAGTAGTTCAATAAGTGTATTTTCAAAGGACACCAAAGCATCCTCTTACTTTTCACCAGCTCTGATAAGCAAAAGCAACGAAGTGCTTTGGCATGGTAAAACTAATTATGTTTTTGTGACAGACAAATACTCTAAGGAACAAGAAAGGGAGAAGTGACATTTTCATACATTGCAAAAGCAAGTATACTGGAAAAAGCTTCAGCATTTAAAGAAATTCAAACTACTCATTTTTAATCAAACTGAACATCTGAATTTGTCATTTCTGTCCAGATTGTCAAGTCTCTATTCCACATAAGTCCGCTTAGCTGGATCCATATTCGAAGCTATCAGAAAAAACATATTAAACAAGAAAACCATGCCATATATCCTAAAGTGGAATTCAGGTCAGGTGAGCCAGAATTTATCTGTGCTATTAAATATGTGAACTGCTTTTAAGCCAGAAAATTTTAATTATTTTTCCAATTTAGATTTCAAGTACTGTCTAGCTTAGGAAGTTCTAAAAGTACTAAGAAAAAAAACGTTGTATTACAACATGAATATCTAGGAAAGGGAACATCAGTTACCTTCAATTTTGTAGTTTATATTACTTTTTAGTGCACTATTATGTAATAGCTAGAGTTAGGGAGATTAAGTCTTTTTGTTACAGGTTTAGTTCTCCTATCTTTTCCAGAATACACAACAATTTCTTTTAAACAGCTGTGAGATTCTCCAGAGAAACTAGAGAAAATAAGACTCAATTATCTGAGTATTTCCAAATGAAGTATTTTAATACTGCCATCAGGCAGCACAGGTGATTTCTGCAATACTCAATTTTAAATGCAAGTTTGTTATTTGCCATCCTGCTGGAGCAGTGTAGGTTTCTAAATGTTTCACCTTCACTCTTGATCCATAGCTCTGAAGTCAACCACCTCATTTAAAAGTACTCTTACTATTTAAGTACTCTCAGTACATAAGCCTATTAACATACATAACATGACTGGACACCAAACCTTATTAAGTAGCTTCTAAAATCCTGGGGATAAAAATTTCAGGCTCCTATTCTACTTCCTATCAGAAACTGGTACCACTCAAACTCTAGTCCTCAAATTTCACAGTGACCAGAAGGAAAACGTACTTCTGAGAATCTGTCTCACATTCACCATGTTGATTTGGGAATTTTAATACCACATCAGAGCACACAAAAGAAATAAATAAAAGCAGACTGTGCTACTGTCATTTCAATTTACAATTGTCTCTTCTGAGACAATAAAGTCCAAAACTATATGAATTCGTGTCACTGAGTTTATGAATTTTTGCTTTAAGTGACAAGATATATCATTAAAATAGTTTATAGGTTTATGTCAAGAGTTTTTATGCATCCAGTAGAAGCAATCTTAGATTAAGTTAAAGCAGTAACCAACTATTTCCAAATTCTGGGTTTTTAGCTCCTTTTGTTATCCAGAAAGAAACAGTAAACCAGAAAGGAGTTTGAATGTAAGCAGGAGGGAAGATTTAGTACTTTAAAAAGCCAATTTAATTGCACTTACCCTATTTGTATCCCTTAATAATTTTCAAACTAAAAGCTGTAGAAAACCAAAATATTCTGACTATGGAAACAATAATCTCACACGTAACTTCAGAAACTGATATTAGGCCATAATTTTATTTACCTCTTCCCTTGCTAACAAAGCAAAGGAATAAGGGCAGTCCTCTGTTTTCAGTCTCTTGCAGAAATAAATAAGAATTTGGAATGAGTTGAATAATTCTCAGTATTGATAACAAATTTGATTTCTGCAGTCTCCAAGAGAGAAGAAATACTAAAATTTTGTCAGGGCCTGGTAGTCCCTGCCTCTTAGGAGAAAATTCAAAGAAAAGAGAGAGAGAGAGAGAGAAGGAGCACTGCTTGCTTTCCTTCTCTATCTCCATATACCCTCAAGTCTTACTGGCAGTGGATGGAGCCAGACTGGTTTGTCCAAGGCCTACAGTCAGACCTTAGCTGACTGAGCTCTTAGTTAAATATTAAGAGGCCTTTGTCCTTTTCTACAATAGCTATTTCCATATAAAGTTGGAAATTTATCTAAAGACATCTCCAGAAATGTGAAGGTAGTAAGATACCAATTGTTCACAAGTATAACATGGAAACACATCAAGAATATTAATACTGAGGTATGTATTTTTTCCGTTTTCTTCTCTTTATTGAAATTCATTACAGCAAATGATAATATGTCCAAACACAAAAGAAAACTTCACCCTATTTATCTAGAGGCAAGCTAAGTTACTTTGTATCTCAAACATTATGCAAAAAATTATGAAAATGTAGTATAGAAAACTGAAAGAAAATGGTAAGAGATGCCTTTATGGACTCTGAAATGGAGGAGAAAAAACCCTTTCAGCTGTCACCTCTCTAAGAAGAATGCATAACTTCAAGATCAGAATTCAAATAGTTCTCAGCAACGGGAACTTTGTTTTCCTACATGTTTCTACAACGTGTTTAATCAATGTTTTATGTAGGTCTCCATTACTTCAGCTATATCCAAATACACAACAGAGCTATAAAGGAAAAGGCTTGCATTTGATCAACTAGTAAAAACTGTACGAAGCTAGACACTGATGTTTAAATATTTACTGGGTTTTTTTTGTTATTGTTTCTATTTTTTTAATTAACTTATATCAAAGAGATAATCTCAAACTACTCTTCCACAGCAAATGATAAGGGAAGGCATTCCAGAGGTAACAACTTTCAGAGGTGAGTATATCCATTTTTTACATGGAAGAAATGTTTATTTTGTATTAGAGATTTGAAATACATAGAATCGTTCAGGTTGGAAAAGATCTTAAAGATCATTGAGTCCAACCACAACCTCACCATACTACCCTAACTGTAACCACCCTCTGCTAAATAGTGTCCCTGAGCACCACATCCAAACAGTTTTTAAACACATCCAGGGATGGTGACTCAACCACCAGCCTGGGGAGCCTATTCCTGCTTTCAGTAAAGAGGTTTTTCCTGATATCCAAACTAAACTTACCCTGGTGCAACTTAAGGCCACTTCCCCCTGTCTCATCACCCATCACCAGTGAGAAGAGACCAACCCCGTTCACACATCCATGTGCGTCTGCCACATTCACATTACAGCCTTGAATGCCAAATTATTCTGTGGTACCTCACCTCTGCTACAGTTAAATCCTTCTGGCACTACTCACTGGATCAGCAACTTCACTGTTAGATCCCTGTATCTCAAGCATTCTCAACCCTGTACTATACAGTGTCCATCATAACATAAAATGCACTCACAACTAGAATATTCAAGTATAACAACAGAAAGAAGTTGCACTTTAAGAAGTAGCTTTATCACAGAAGACTAAGCCATGCCTGATTGCTACAGTCAGTTAACCATTTAGTTAGCAAAATGACTGTTTTCAAATCTCAAATGAAAATTGGAAAAGAAGTTCTCCTAGGAGGCAGTTTGCAAAAAACACACAAAAAGGTGAACAAATAGTACTGGCAAAAAGCTGCTATAGTTTAGCTCTGAACTAAATTTAAAGAAAGAAGACTACTAGGCAACAGTAACCAGGAAAATATGATTTAAGATTCTGCCCACAGATTTAATTCTAAAAGCAATTTCATAAAAAAATTCTGATCGGTATTCTAAATGGAAAAGGTAATTTGATTTCCAAACAACTGGGGAATGACAGATATGTAATAAATGGTTACACTTTCCTGCTTTAACAGGGTTAATGAGTGTTTAGCTACCTGAGATTTTAAACATAAATGAGCACCTAACCAGAATTATTACTTGGCTATTTTACCCCTCATTTGCCTTCTGATCCATGGAAGAGTGAGAGGAAGACCAGAATTCAGATAATACCAGGTTGCATTTTCTGACATTTTGGACTGATATACAGTATTGTAACATCTCATATGTAACTATTTTGCTACATGGCCAGGGTCATTAATGAACAACAGGTCAAATGAACACACTGAGTCAAGCATAGATGACCCATATCATTCTGTGAGAAATCTCTTCACATTTAGAAAATGCAATACTAGTGAAAAGCATAGGTAATCTGCACCCACATACCCACTACTAAATTTGTTATAGTTTTGTGCTTAATTACAAATAATACATTTATTCATATGGAAACTATAAGAGAAATTCTTGAGCATCTACTGATTTAAGAAGTTAACTGTTCTAATTCTTACTATTAGCTTCCCAATTAAAAAAATCTGTAATTACTCTGATACTGCCAGCACTGGGCAAAGGAGAATGACACTGCAAACCCTCTATATACTAGACTGTTGGGTAAGCTCTGTGATACTTTTCTACACTACAAATATTTAACAAGATTTGTTCCCAACAGACTATTTTCTACATCAGTTTATTTCATGGCACTCTATTTGCTGCAACAAGAAAGAGTGAAAGTTATTTCAGGTCTTTAGCCCATAGAACTTTCATTAAAGAAAGAAAAGCACAATCATTTAATTCATAAGATCATTTTTAAAAGTTTAAATTATGCTTATTTAACACATACAGCTTAAATTCCAATTTGTGGTATCTAGGTGAAAATAAATTTAAAATTCCATTTACAAAATGGCTTTTTGCAAGTGAGACTTTATGTTGTTATGATTCCAATAAAAATAAATTCAATCCAGAAGAAAATTTTCCATGGAACCACTACCAAAATTCTTCTATTTTAAAATAATATTGAAAGTAAAGACAATTAAAAAATCTCATTAAAATGGTACTGCTCACATATGCCAGAATAAATTCATCTGCAGTCAGATGATGCAAGCACTTTGCCAAATTTTGTTTTATCTTCTTGAGGTTTTTTTTCTGGTTTCATTTTACGTTTGTTTGGTTTTGTTTTTTTTTTTGTTGTTGTTGTTGTTGTTTTTCCCCTAGGTTAAACAGGGAAAGAGTAGCTCTAATTTAAACTACATTGCCATTCAGGGCATCACCATATCACATCACTTAACACACAAGTGATTTTCTTTCATTTAGTAAGAAAATAATTTACAACTTTAAAACCTAGTGTAAACAGCAAGAATGGCTGGCATATAATATGCAATCACATTCCTTTGGGGATGAAAAAAAGAGCCTGTCAAATTCAGCTTCGGGCATTACTGAAAAGTCTGTTTTGATCAATACACTACCACTACAAGATTTATAATGCATAGGGATTTCAAACTTTCTTTAACCATTCATTGAATATTTTAAACAAAATCTATTATCATCAGTCACAATATTAATTTTCATAAGAATGTATCAACATTCAAGGCTGGCATCAGACAAAACCGAGTTTTTACAACCAAAAAGGCACTCTGTTTTTTGGTTTTGTTTTTTTAATTTGGGCTTACATCTGCTATAGCGGATGAGGAATGCAGTCCATCACCTCATCTTCAGGAGGTCTTTTACCAATTTTAGCAAGGTAATGAAAAAATTACACGTGGAAGAATCAGAAAAGTCTGAGGAAAAGGGAAAACTCGATGTGGAAGTCTAGAATTATGTGAGAAGTAGAGAAAGAGCAGACATTCTCCAAATATTTGGTTAAATACAGAAGTAAAAACATTAATCTGTTAAAGTATATTTCTCATCTCAATTTAACGTGAGTGAATTTAAAAATAAAGACATAGTTAGGTTTCTTAATCTTCAATTACATAAATTACATAATGATCCCATTGACAAGTTTCAGAGTAAATAGCATCACTGTGCATTGCACTAATTCAAACACAGTCAATGCAGCAGTGATTGCAATCATTAGAGAATCACTGTTATTTATAAACTTAACTTATGAGTTCAAGGACATTTCTGTCTCCACCATTACTTACATGCATGGACGTAATTCTTAAATGCTGTTTGAAAGAAGCAAAATAGTGAAATAAATACTTAACTGCAAATATTTTTGAATAGTGATTCTTTCCAGTGAAATAATTTAGGGTGATACTATTCAGACTAAGACTAAGGGCAGCATTGATCTTTCACTCAACAGCAGTAGATGAAAACTGAAATAACTGAAATACATTGCAGTGGGAAAAGTTTAAGGGTGTACCTACCTCAAGCTCATCAAGTGCACTTCCTAGAGTAGCTCTGTAAGATGCAGGTTGTCCCTTTTTATTCCCAACTCCTTGGGAAGCATTAGAAATCACATTGAGGGCATTTTGTATTTCATTACAAATTGAATCCTTGCTGGCTGTAAGGGATGCAACATCCGAATGTTCCAAACAAGCTGAACATATTGAATGAAGAAGAGAAGAATTTTCTTTCAGGGTTGCACGTGCTGCAGCAATTTCATCTCGCTGATCACTAGATTTCAAATCCTGTCAGCAAAAGAACATGATATTTATTTCCAAAAGCACTTCAAAACTGACAAGTAGTGCATAAATGGTGTTGTTTGGGGTTTTTTTTGTTCGTTTTTCTATCTGTAGTCTGTTTAAGGACACCAGTTACATTTATCTAAGATTTGGAAAAATGACTACATCTATAATTGTACTTGTGATGGAATCTTCTTTATCTCACAAGGAATGAACAAGACCTATGTAAAACAATCACATTTTTTAAATTGTATTTTATAACTATCACTACGGAATATTCACATTCTGCTCTTCTAAAAAGAATTTTCCTGTGAAAAAAGTGGTCTGGAAATCAGCTCTCTTCTCTCCTCTCCAACATGTCTATCTTAATAAGCAGTAGAGAAGGACAGAGATGTAGATAGGGTTAATAAAGGAGTCTTTGATTGCTACATCTAAACATATTTCTTGTGGTTGCATTCCCGCCCTGCTGCCTGTGTCCCAAGTGCTCTGTAGAAAAGAACAGCAGCTAGAGATTTACTTGAAGAAATGCATTGGATTACAAATTTCTGAAATATTTTTTGTCATTGCTGTAATACCCTATTTGATTATTTGCTTTGATTATTTAAAATATTTATGATAAATATCTGTCAACAATACAAAATAAGCTGATTTCTTTTTTCCTTCCCAAAAAAGCACAAAACTATAGCAAATTGAGTCAAATAACTCAATGACATATTTTTCCACTCTATTTTAAGAAGCATTCAATTCAAACACTGCAGAGAACGTTAAGTTGCTGCTATGTGAATGTATGTACAATTGATGTGTGTAAAGAACAGTGCTCAAGAAAATGAAACTAAAGTGTTGATCCATCAAAACAAGCTTATTAGCATTACCATTTTCAGAAATGTTAACAGTATGCTCTGTTTTGGCTACTCAGCTCACACTGCAAAATCAGTTTGTTTTAACTGTTACCATGAATAACAGTTTCTCTTTCTTCTTGCATATTAGCTGGGTTTTCTCACCATTGTTTTTTGTATACCCTGCAAACAGTTATAGGATAGGAACTCAGACCAAGAAAGAAAAAGCCAAAAGCCCTTGAGCTCTGTACTGAAAGTTAATGCATTGGTATATGATAGATTTAATACAGAACTGAGAATAAATGTCTTCCAGCAGCTGTACTCCGGACCTATAAATTGCTGCAAGTACTGTGAAAATCTATACAGAGAAAGAATGGCTGTATAATTTAAAGCACTGGTATTTGTCAAGAAAAGCTGCAGATACAGAACTTGATTTCTTTTTTTCCAAAATTCTTATAAAAATTACAAGTTGCCTTTACAGAGATTCTTTTTAGATTAGAACTTTCGTTCATCTTTCCTGACGGCACTTCAGTGCAGAATACTATTTAATTCTTAACAGAATAATGAAATTCAAGAACAAACCCCAAATGATTTAAAAAAAAAAAAAAAGTTAACAATGAGCATTTATGTTCTACATTGAATATATTTGAATAATATGAGAAAAGTGGAGTACTGATCCAATTTATATTGTAGAGATTATATATATTGTATTAATCCACAAAAATAAAATGTTGAAGAAAAGGTTTAAGCAGTTGAATTATTATTTTTGATATGCATCCCTACCAAGAACACTGACAGCTGCATCACACACTCCTGTTCTTCCTTATGCTTGAGAGATTTTCCACGATCAGTCCAAAAATACAAGCTAAAATACACATTATACCTCAATAGCTACATAAAATGCTATACCACCTAACCAATGTCTAAAACTTCCAGAATTTAAATAAGTTTATTGGAGAAATATGAAGATTTGTGTCTTAAAGTCACGCATACATTTAAGCATCTCATTTGCTAATTTGTGAACACCAAGCAATGCTTTTTTTTGTTTTAAACATTAATGATACTGGAACTTTTTACTAATCAGGGAAGTATAACTTTTGAGATAGTGGTTTTGATTCAGAAAATAAGAAAAGCTTCTAAAATAAAAGTATTTTTCAGAAAAAAAGAGTGTTATAAGTGAACATTCCTTTCTAACAGAAGTAATTTTAAGTCCATGAAGTAAGAACATTTTGTTGAAACCCTTTGAAATAGTTATTTTCAGAATGTGATCAACATTAAACTGTGTTGTCAATGTCTGTTATGTTAACAGACTGCTGTCTGCTAACTGCAGCTTAAATTGCCATATTTCTTTATGTGCTAGCTTCCAACTACCATAATTGAAATGACTCAATGGGAAACAATATCTTCCTGGATTCACAGCAAGTAACAATGAACACTGCAGCATTCCTTATGCAAGTTCAGGAAATGCAATTTCCTTTATTTCTAAATATATAAGAAATAAAGCATTTAAAAAAAAAAAAAAAAAAAAAAAAACGAGTTGAGCTGTCCTAAGAAATTTAATCATTATTTTTGGTGCATAAAATCAGAAAAGTCCCAAGAAATATTTATTATTTTTGAAGTGAATATTCTATCGGAAGTTCAGTTATCTGAAAGCCCTTCAAACTGGTCAGAATTCAATTTATAAGACGCAAAATATAAGGCACATAATACTTCAAAATAAAACAGCAAGTCTTACTAATTATCCCCTCATACGGACCCAGCTGTGTTGAACCCACTGAATTGTAACAATTCTTAAGGTTAGTACAAGGGCTACCACAGGCAATATCCCATAAGACAACTGTGTTCAGTAGAAACAGCAGTAAAATATAATCTCTCAGTAATAGAAGAAAGAAGTGGAAAGCAGTCACAGTTTAAACTTCAGCAAAGAAAATTTTATGAGGACCCTACAGACAAGCACTGCAGAACTCAAATTTGTATCTTTGTGATCTGCCTTTTAATATCTAAGTCAGGGCTTTGCTGTTTATCCTTGAGTATCAAATATGAATCCAGAGCTGATCACAGTCACCATCAGAAACAAATCTCCGCTACTTTATTTCGAAAAGTCAAAACACCCTTAAATGGTCTTTTCCTTGAAGAACCGAAATGGTAAGAGCTTCAGGCTTCACAAAGCAGTGGCAGCAGTTTTGCCAAAGCATCCTCTACCTGTTCATACACTGACTTCCTCATTTTCCCTACATGGCTAAAAATTATGAATTTGGATTTCCTTTTATTTTTTATGATGGTATCTATAATGTGGAAGAACACCAAGGAATTAAAACATGTTGAGATTCATCTAATTAAATGGCATGAGAAGGTTTTAGTTCAAGGTTTTCTGCGTAGCATCAATTTCTTGTATTGAAGCATCGTATAATTTTAATTGCAAACTTCTCAGCTTAATATGCCTTAACAGAATACATTCATTTCCGTGACTCCAGTGGTTTTCACAAATGATAGTAAAGTCAGTTCTTCCATGGAGGTAATGTCACTGTCAGACAAAACATTCTCATCAGTAACAGTTAGAAATTATAGAGTGGAGGGAACTCACACAATTTAGGAAGTCCTTCGACCATTAACTATCAGGTTTCAATATTACTGGTCTTGTGAAGCCTTGAAATCTTAAGAGATGTAGAGCAACAAATTAAATATAATAGTCCATCTTGATAAAGGAAGAAAGATATCTTCCACCTCATTCCCCATACCAAGTGTACGAAATGTGTACAGAAATATCGCTTTATCTGGCCCCTGGTTTCCTCTGGAACAAAGCCCTTTTTTACTCTTGCTGTGTTTCAAAAAATAACATAGCAGACAGTTGATCGAGAAAGAGGACTCATAACCATCAGTAAAACTATTAGTACAGAAAAAGCCCTGTATTTTAGAATTCATTTAAAAGGGACAGAGTAATAAAATAAAGCCAGGTAAGTCAGTGAAAGCAGCACTGTACTTCACATTCACAAATAATTTACTAAGCAAACTACCTCTAAGGCATAGTATTTAAAAACTTTATTTTCAATATTTCATACAGAAAATGAATTTCAAGTGATCAGCAAGTCCAAAACACTTTGCATTAGTACTTCATGCCCCCTTATACTTCCTGCTGTCAATCACTGGACTGAGATGAATATCAGGTAACAGCAAAAGGACAAGAGGGGACGGTCCGTGGTTCAAATTGCCATGGGTCAAATTGCCCCAGGGGAGGTTCAGGTCAGATATTAGACAAAAAATTATTCTCAGGAAGAGTGGTGATGCATTGGAACAGGCTGCCCAGGGAGGTGGTGGAGTCACTGTCCCTGGAGGCATTCAAGTATCAGGTGGATGTGGCACGGGGGGATATAGTTAGCAAGCATGGTGGCGATGGGTTGGGGTTGGACTAGACTGTCTTAGTGGTCTTTTTCCAACCTCAACAATTCTATGATTCTCTCTATCCATATTCTATATTCATATCTATTAATGACTAATTTTCCATTAATTACAATTGGATCAAACACAGATTTGATCCCAAATCCTCTCAAATCCAATGGAAATTGCAACATTAGTTTTTGCAAAAACATTATGCTTTTTTCAATTAACAACATTGTTCATAGGACACATGAATTCTAAGATTCATACAAATTCAGAGTGTTTTTCATTTAGAGTTTTTGGTGAGTGGTAGAATTTGCTGTGCTGCTGACTAAGACAAAACAAATTATATTCTCTCTTCATCAAGTCTCAGCCACGCTGCAATCAATATAACGTCTAACAGTTTTGAGGACTATGAATAAAATATTAAAATTGTGTTAGAGTTCTTTTATATTGAAGAGCTTAATTAACATCAAAATAACCTTTCAGTAATGCTTCCTCTCTTCTAGATTATTCTTATAAAGTATTAATGAAACATTAAAACTTTTCTCATAGGACAATAACTCACTTTTAAAAAGATAAATCACTCAAAGACTATCTAATCAATTTCCTTTTTAGTTTATTATTAGAATATCACTCCTAAAAAGTGTACAGAATTTTTAAAAAGTATAATCCTTCAGAGAACTCACCTTCAAAGCTAATGAGTGTAATCAGCTTCTGAAACAGAATAAATCTTTTATACTTTGCTATAGCACTTATTTTTAATACAAAATTGAAGTTATTTTTGCTCAAGGA